CGCACCCGGGTCCGCAGCCCAGTCCGCCTGCGGACCCCAACCCTCGGCCCCGGCGGCCGCCGCTTCGTCGTCACTACTGTTACTCGGCGCGTTCCCCATGGGGCCTGGGTCTGGGCGCTGCGCTCCGCCGCCGCCGCCGCCGCCCGGCCTCGACCTGTCAACCTCCGACAGCTCCGGCGGGCGGGGATTCGGAGGGGCGGCGGCGACGGCGGCGACTTCCGGCTTCCTGGCCGTCAAGCGAGCGCTGCCGTCGCGAAGGCGTTGTAAGTCGGCCACCGCCAGGTCACGACAGCTCGGCGCGGACGGCGGGACGGAAACCTTGGTTTCCAGGAACGCCGCACGTCACCTCACACCTTCCTCTGCCGCCATCTTTGTTGGGGCGGAGAATTGGAAGCCGAGCTCCTTCGCTGCTGCTCCGCTGGAGCCCTCTGTAGTTCATGAGCTATGCTGGAAAAAGCACGGGGAGCATAACCCGAGGCAGGGAGTGAGCTGGCGTCCACACTGAGCGCGCGGGGGAGGGGCTTCGGTTACGTCATTTCCTCTGGCTTCAGGAAGTGCGGTGTGCCTGCAGCCGTCCGCATGCGGAGGTTCTGCAGGCCCTCCCTGGCGTGGAGCCTGGCGGCAGCGGCGGCAGCAATAATGGTGGCGTGGCTGAGGGGCTGGTGTGGCGCCCGTGCTGACCTTCGTCTTTTTACCCCCGAGGAGCTGGCCCGCTACCGTGGCGGCCCTGGGGACCCGGGCCTGTACTTGGCCTTCCTCGGCCGCGTCTACGACGTGTCCTCGGGCCGGCGGCACTACGAGCCCGGGGCCCACTACAGCGGCTTCGCAGGTACCAGCCCGGTCGCCCATGCCGGGCCTCCTCCAGCCCAGTCCGGGAGCGTCGTTCGTTCATTCATTCATTCGTTTATCCGCTGCTTGCCGATCCCTCCCTTCCTCCCCTCCCTCCCCTCATTGTCAACAACGAACCAAGTAGCCAGGACTCAGCTATACCATCCTTCCGGCTTCTGGGGCGGGACTACAGCCAGCCGTTGCTCCCTGTACCCTCACTCCATGGCTGTGCTTGACTTTATGTCCAAAAAACGTTTGTCTCGTTGGTTACTCGTCCCCGCCTATGTGCCTTGTGCCAGACTTGCAGAGCCTGTGAGGTACAATTCCTGCGCACAATTGCAGTAATTTCAATTACTTTTAAATTCTCTGACCCAAAATAATCCTCCGACCCCCAATATTCCCCGAAAAGAATACATTTAATTTGAGTCATTATTGCTTCTAGTACAGATACACTTGTCTGACTTTTAAAAAGATTATAAACCGGGTACAGATAGCCCACGCCCGTAACGCTAGCTACTCCAAGAGACAGATCTGAGCCTAGGCAGGAAACTTAGCTCTAGTTAGCCATCAAAAAAAAAAAAAAAAAACCGAAGTGGGTGCTGAGAAGATGGCTCAGTGGTAGAGTGCTTGCCTTGCATGCATGAGGCCCTGGGTTCGATTCCTCAGCACCACATAAGCAGAAAAAGCCACAAGTGGCCCTGTGCCTCAAGTGGTAGAGTGCTAGCCTTGAGCTGAAGAGCTGAGGGACAGTGCTCAGGCCCAGAGTTCCGGCCCCACGACTGACCAAAAAAAAAAAAAAAAAGTACCCAGGAGTTGGATGCCAGTGGCTCACGTTTGTAGTACTAGCTACTCAGGCTGAAATCTGAGGAGCACCACAGTTCAAAGCCAGCCTGGGCTACAAGGTTAGTTTCAGTTAACCAATAGAAAGCCAGAAGTAGAGGTATAGTTTATGTGGTAGAGCACCAGTCTTGAGCCAAGTGAGAGACAGAGGCCCTGAGTTCAGGCCAGCATACACACATACAAAGTACCCAGGCAGCTAGATAGGAAATGTACTCATTACCTTACTCATGCAACTGTAACCCCTCTGTATAGTATTTTTAATGTTTTTATTGTAAAAATATTGTACAGAGGGTGAACAGTTACATGAGCAAGGTAATGAGTACATTTCCTATGAAGCATTGTTACCTCCTCCTTTGTTTTTCTTCTACCCTCCCTTCCCCCCCACCTCCACAACTACACTCCCCCATTTCCCCCCTCCCCCCTCCCTGTCTAAATTGTAAAGTTCATTTTTCAACATAGTGTCTTGAACAGCTCATTGTTACAGTGGGTCAACCTGTATCCCTATTTAAGCATTTTTTCCCTTCCCCTCCCCAAGCTAGAGAAGTGTATATACAAGATGCAGGGCACTGACATCAAATACAGTGAAAATAGGGGTTATATTGTAGGGGAGGGGGAGGAACATGCAAAGAAACAAAAAAAAATCACAAGGTACATTATAAATACGTTAGGAACAACAGCAAGCAAGAAAAACTACTTGTGTCCCTATCTTAGGGTTCATTTTGCTTAATCATCTTATTTGGCCATACGTACATAGCTTTTGACCTTTTCTGCTTGTCCCAGACATATACTAGTTATTGCAAATAAGGGAAACCATGGGATCTGTGTTTCTTTGGACCTGGCTTACTTCACTTAATATAATTTTTTTCCAAGTCTTTCTATTTCCTAACAAATGGGGCAGTGTCATTCTTTCTGATGGAGGCATAGAATTCCATTGTGTGTGTGTGTGTATCACATTTTCTTGATCCATTCATCTACTGAGGGGCATCTGGGTTGGTTCTATATCTTAGCAATGGTAAATAATGCTGGAATAAACATAGTTGTGCTGGTAGCTTTAGTATAGTCTTGTTTGTGATCATTTGGGTAAATGCCCAAAAGTGGGATTGCTGGGTCATAGGGAAGTTCTATGTGGAATCTTTTGAGGAACCTCCATAGTGTTTTCCAAAGTGGTTGAACAAGTTTACACTCCCACCAACAATACAGTAGGGTTCCCTTCTAGCCACATCCCCTCCAGCATCTGTGTTGTTAGAGTTCTTGATTATAGCCATTCTCACTGGGTGAGTTGGAATCTCAATGTTGTTTTGATTTGAATTTCTTTTATGGCTAGAGAGGTTGAGCATTTCTTCATACGTCTATTGGCCATTCTTATTTCCTCTTCAGAGAAGTTTCTCTTTAGGTATTTTTTTTTCCTGGCTACAAGTTTATTCAACACAAAACAATCTCCATCTTTACTGGGGTGGCTGACCACATCCACAACCAAATCCACCTCTAAACTGGAATTCAGTTGCTGACCCAGCCCCAGCCTCCGCTTTCTTGTCAGCACCGGGGGCACAGCACTCCGTCTGTAGGTGTCTCTGTCAGCTTCACCTTTTGTGAGTCTTGCAGGCTGTTTGCCCTCCAGACCTTTTGGCCGAGGCCTTCCAGTCTCAGGTGGCTGTGGTGCAAGGTAGCAGGTACAATCTCAGGGGGCAAGTGGAGGTAATCACGGAGATACTGGATACCCTCGTTGGTCAGATACCAATAAAAATGCCTCCAGGCAAACTGTTCCTTCACGTAGCCCCGAAACTTGAGAGAGTGCATGGCCTTCATGACGTGAAGGTTGGGCACATTCTTGTCTGCCAGTTCTGGGTGCTTGGGCATGTGGGCATCCTTCTTGGCCACCATAACCCCCTCATTAAAAAGGAGTTCATAAGGGGCTGGGAAGGTGGCTCAGTGGTAGAGTGCTTGCCTTGCATGCATGAGGCCCTGGGTTCAATTCCTCAGTACCACATAAACAGAAAAAGCCAGAAGTGGCACTGTGGCTCAAGTAGTAGAGTGCTATCCTTGAGCTGAAGAGCTGAGGGACAGTGCCCAGGCCCAGAGTTCAGGCCCAATGACCAACCAAAAAAAAAAAAGTTCATAAATGGCAATCCGGTTTTTCTTGGGCATCAACATCACGGTGGCTTCAGGGTCTGAGGCTGAGGCTGGAAAGTCTCTTTAAGTCTTTAACCCACTTGTTTATTAGGCAGCTGTTTCTTTGAGGGGGGATTTAAGTTTTTGAGTTCTAAGTATATTTTAGATATGAGAACCTTGTCCATTGTATGGCTAGTGAAGATCTCCCAATCCGTGGGCTTTCTATTGATCTTTCTAGCTATGTCCTTTGCCATGCAGAAGCTCTGTAGTTTCATGCAATCCCATTTGTCCAACCTTTCTTTGATTTGTTGTGTTTCTGGGTCTCTATTGAGAAAATTTTGGCCTGTGCCAAGGAGACCTAGGGTTTCTCCTATTACTTCCTGTAATGTTTTCAGGGTGTCTGCTTTGTCTTCGAGGTCTTTGATCCATTTGGAGTTGATTCTGGTGCAGAATAAGGATCCAACTTTAGTTTTCTACTCCTCTGTACAGTATTTTTACAATAAAAAAAATTTTAAAAAAGCACCCACTGGGCTGGGAAGGTGGCTCAGTGGTAGAGCACTTGCTTTGCATGCTCAAGACCCTGGGTTCGATTCCTCAGCACCACATAAGCAAACAGAAAAAAG